GCAGTGCACCGAGCAGGGAGCACTCGCGACACATCTGCGGGACACCTGTGGCTTCATGCCTGGTCCTAGGCTGCCCCTCCAGTCATCGTGGGCTCCAGGGTCATGGCCAATGGCTGGGCACAGGGAGTGAGTGGGGCCGGGGAGGAGCCAGGGCCTGGCATCAAGGAGTCCTCTCCACAATGCCAGCAAGTCGGGGCACTACCCTGATGTTGATGGAAGGAACTGAGGGCGAGGGAGGTCATGAGTTCGCCCCTGTGCCCTGCCTGCTGGTCGGCAGGCAGAGGAGGGCAGCCCACCTCCTCCTCGGCTCAGCCATGCAGAGGACAGGCCTGGGGTCCTCCCACCACAGCCAGGTTTTAACAGAAGACATATATCTCCGTGGGGACCCTTTTCAGAACCACGGAACCAGCAAAGCTCACAATATTTGGGAAACTCAACCAAAAGCAGGGGCATCCATGGGCCCCTGGCCAGCCAGATGTCCACAGAGCCCACAAGGCCAGGCTGGAGCGGCACAGCAGTGCTGCAGAGGCCCTTGTCCCCACAGCTCCGCATCTACAGGGACTCTGTGCTGGGCAGGTGCTGAGTGGAGCGTCTCGCTGGTCTCATGGGCAGCTTCCCAGGGGGCGGATGCTGGGCTGAGCCTGGGCACACAAATGACCAGTCCTCTGGAATGGCCCTTGACCCTAGAGGCAGGGTGGTTCTTCTTCTCTGGAGCAGTATCCCAGTTGGATAGACCTACGCTTCCCACAAGGGACCCCAGCAGTGGCAGGTGGCTTTCCCCAGCCACGGTACCTCCTCCACACCCAGAAAAGACCACACCGTGCTGCAGAAAAGGCCTCGGTTGTGGCTGCAGAAGTGATAAGACAGCTCCTCAGGTAGGAAGCCCATCTTGAAGAGAGGGTCGAACTCGGTACTCTAGAAGGACAGGAAGTCGCAAGGCCCCTTTGTCTAAAGGTGTCGGGAGAATTTGTGTAGAACTGCCTCAGAAGCAATGGCAGGACTAGAGGCCAGGAGGAGGAGGATTCTTGGTTGTCACCCTTGACAAGCCTGGGGCACTCTGCACTTGAGGTTTGACTTACAGTGGGAGTGGCTCCTCCTGAGAGGACAATGCCTGTGGAGGTGGCTTGGTCAGTTCTGCATGCTTCAGCTGCTGGGTGGGGACAGATGCACCTGCTCCCTGTGGTTGCCTGGCAGGGGCCACCAGCCCAGGCTGAACTGTGCTCTGCACAATCCCCACCCACCCAGTGTTCTCCCTGGAAGACACACCCCTGCCAACCCTGGACCCTGAAGATCTCTGAATCCAGCACGTGCCCAAGGAGTAAATGTGGATGGCTACCCTGGAGTCGGGGTTTGCTTGTGAAAGGGCGGCCCTGAGGGCGGAAGCCTCGCCACCGAGGAGCCCATGCCATGTCCCATGCAAGACAGCTGAAGGTGGCCTGGGGAACCCGGGCCCGGGCTGCAGCGACTCACAGTTGCCCTGCCAGGGAGCTGCGCCCGAGGCCAGGACCTGGGGCGTCCCATCAGCATGGCCTCGAAACCCCCTGCTTTGAACCCCAACTGGTAAACTGGAAGTAGGGGCAGCAACAGTAAGGCAGGAGTAAATGAGGACACACAGAAAGCCTGGCACAGGGCAGAGATCGATCGTCTGGACAAACCTAAGGTCAGAGATCAGGAATTTTCATGAGGAGAAAAAATGGCAGGCAAGCCTTGTGCCAGCTCACTAAAAACAAGATGCATTCAAACCTCACTTTCCTGCCCTTTGGGGTGCTTACTTGGAGCCAGCCCTTTGATGAGTACTCCTGAGGAACTCAAGCTCAGAGAGGTTAAGGGACTTGCCAAGGCCACAGAGCTACTAAGGGGCAGAGCTGGGCTTTGCCCTAATCATTGGTCACTACTAAAATATCCGATGTCCCAACACAGGCTGCTTTTAAACCATGCAAAAGAAAAAGGAAAGGGCAGCCCAGATATGAGAATGCATGGGCTCCACATAAGCCAGCAGAGCTGCACCCGATGGCAGGTGGACTATGGTCATGGCCACGCCACTGCAGACACGGGATCCATCTCAGCTGCAGGCGTGGGTCTGACTCTCAGCTCCAGAGGTGCCCTGCCAGCCACCTTCTGTCCTCTGGGAGCTGTTCCATCCAGCCCTGCCCTGTGACTGTGAGGTTTCCTAGTGCAGGGCTGCAGGTTAGTGGCCAGTGGTTGTCACTGCCTGGCACCCTGGGCTCCGTGAGTGCCCTGGCACTGTGGCCCTCTTCCCCATGTCTCTTCACCTCTGTCATGCCCCAGCCTCTCACCCCTGTGCGGGGCCTGGCTGTTCTTCCTCTTGGAATGCAGCTCCGGACCCCCCGGTCTTCTTGGCCCACTGGTCCTGTGGTGCACCCCAACTTTGCCTTCTTGTGAGCGGGCCTGTTCCCACTCCTTGTCTTCACAGCTGTATCCCCAGGGCCATCAACATCTGTAGGAGGCCACCAGCTCACCCCACCCCGTGTGCCTGCTGAGCATGACTGGCCCAGACTCACCCTCCCGCCTTGGGATGGGTTCCCTGGTAGAACCTTCCAGAGAGAGCCCCTCGGAGCATCACAAAGTCCTGCATGTGTTCACTCCCAAGGATATTTCCATTCCATTGGCAAAACGTCCAGGCGGGTCTGTGGAGCCCCAGCTGCAGGCTTTGCTCAGCGTCACCTGGGATCCCTGCCAGCGCAGGGGGCTTCGCCTGGCAGCCGGGGGCGGGGGCTGTGGCTAAACTTCTCTCCTCCCCCTGCTCTGGCTCCCTCAGTGTGGACTGGGTTGGTCTGTGGAGGGAGGGGATCAGGGGCAGCAGGCCTGACCTGACCAGAAAGACAGGATGTCATGGCCGGATCCAAGGCTGCTGCTGCCTTGACAAAGGTGGTCAAGAGGGGTCCCTGATGTAGGGATTGGGGTCTCCCTGATGACTTCAGGGCTGTGGCATGCTTGGTGCTGGGAAAGTTTCTGTGCAAAGCCTAGGATGCCCGGTTGCTGTAGTAATGCCTTCTATGTAGAGTCTTATCAGCTTCGACCTTAGTTTTAGGCACGTAGCTCCTGGGAATAGAAGAACTTGTTTGCTAGAAAACTACAGTGTTTCACCAAGCTCCGGTGCTCCTGGAGCTGAAGCCAGATTTAAAGTTAGGTAGTCAATGTCGTTAGGTCAATCGGGTCTAATACCGAGTGAAATCTAAAATGGAGGCCATGCTGGGAATGATTCCGGGAACGCAGGACAACTCATGGAATGTTAATGAAGTCCGAGAAAGCCCAAGGCCAGAGTCCATCCCAAAGAAGTGATAATGAAGTCCTTCCTGCCCAGATTACTTCTTTGGCCCACCTGTGTCCCACCCCTTGGGCCTTCCCACCTGCATTCCATCACTGAAAGAACTCTAAAAAGGGGAGACAACCGCACTTCCACGGATTCCACCTCTTGGGTCCCCTTCTTCCTCTGGGAGAAGTCTTTTCTGCTGTCCTTTAATAAACTTCTAATTTCTACTCTGACCTTGCCTCGGCGTGCTTCTTGGTGTTATTCTTCAACATCAGGGAAGCAAGGACTCGTCACCGGTCAAAAAAGCTGCCCACCTAACAGTAACTTCAGACAATGGACTTTCTTGAGGACTGCACAAAGCCCCTGACATTGCATATTGTAACCGTGAAATGTAACTGCAGAATAAGCAACTTCACTGATACTCTAAATAATAATGTGGTTATGGCACTAATGACCTAATGCAACCTATTGGTATAAATAAACGTGGCTGCTTGGAGAAGGAGGCGTATCCGCCACCTTCCCTGCCTCTGCACCTTGTCTCCTCTTTATTATTATTTATACCTGGAGACCTGCTCACAGCAGTCTCAGGGAGGGCTGTGTCTCCATCTGCCATTTATGATTGAGTACCTGGATGTTCTCAACCTCTGCCCATATGGGTTGTTGCCAAGGGGATGTTAGCAGAAGGGATGCTGGCCAGGCCCTGACTGGCCTCTGGAATGTTGAAGAGGATGCCAAGGGAGTCCTAGCTGTCCAAGAGGATGTCAGATACAGTGCCAGCAGGGTAAGTCCTGAATGTCTTCTACAGGGGACCACAGGCACCTTTGTGACTACACAGAAGAGACCCACAGAAGACACCTGAACTGGATCCAGCCTGGCCAAACCCAGCCAAGATCAGCCAAACCACGGCCTCCTGCAGAGGCAACCTGAGTAGGATGCTTGGTTAGGCCTGGGGTGGCGGGTTATGTGGAGTTATTCTGGGAATAGCCAACTGATTCAGGATCACTTTGCCCCTACATAGCTCTCTGGGGCAATATCCAAGATGACCCAAGGCCAGCTCCCTGCAGGGATCCCCACCTAAGCCCAGGCAAATGAGTACCTTCCTGCCACAGAGCTCCTCCACATCCTCTGGTCTTAATATTTTACAAAATTTCTTTTGATGTACTAGGGATGGGTTTTATAGTTGTAAATTATACCTCAATACAGATGTAAAGATGGCCAATAGGAGGGAGAGAAGACTTGGCACAACCACTGTGAGATTCGGTGCAGCGATTCTGAGCACACTGGTTGAGTGCTGCCAGCCGGAATCCGTCCCCCTTCCTGCTCCCGGATTGGGGGGGGTCTGCTGTCTCTGAAGGAAGGCTGCTCCCCCTAGAGCAGCTTGTCCTCCTCCATGCAGGCCCCTTTACGCCCTGCCATCTGATGCTCTCGTTGCCTGGAGGGGAGAGGCTGGTCGGGGTGGGTCCAGAAGTGGCACTGCTTGATGTGTCTTCTGTCCCAGTCCCAGTCCCAGGAAAACTGGGTGCAGAGGAAGGCTGATTTCTTCAGAGACAAGGTGCATCTGCGGGAAGCGGCAACATCCTTGCCTCATCAGTGTTCCCCAAGTGCCCCTATCTGAACCCCAAGGCGCTCCTCCTTGCAAGTGTTCCGTTCACAGGCAGGGATTGGTGTTAAGTGTCAACTTGTCTGGGCATTTCTTTTTTCTTTCTTAAATATTTTTTAGTTGTAGTTGGACACAATATTTTATTTATTTATTTTTTATATGGTGCTGAGGATTGAACCCAGGGCCTTGCTCGTGCTAGGTGAGTGCTCTACCACTGAGCCACAACCCCAGGCCCTAATCTGGGTATTTCTGTGAAGGTGTTTTGTAGGTGCGAAGAACATCTCTGACCAGTCAACTTTAAGGAAAGGATGATACTTGATGATCCAGGTGGCTGTGGCCAATCAGCTGAAAGACCTGGAAGAGAGGGTTAGTAGAAATAAGGACAAGAAGATGCTTCTGGTAGGGCAGGTGGGAATGAGGAGCCTTATTAGAAACTGGAGGAAAATTCTCCCAGTAAAAGAGCAGCACAAGACTGGACTGGATTGCACTCTTCCATCTGTGGACAGCAGAACTGAGGAATGTGGCTACGCAGATGAGGAGATTCCCAGGTAAAGAGGTGTTAAAGGTATGCGCTAGTGTCCTCCTGCTGCTCATCTTACAATGTGAGAGGAAAGAGGTAAGGTAAAGAAGACCTGCTAAGCAAACACAAGGAAGCGCTTAAATGATCCCGGAGGCTCTTTGCCTTGCAAAGGGTGCTGACACCAGGAAGCTCACTGTGGGGAAGGCACATCCCGCTGTCCCCCTGAGGCTGAGGGTGTACCAGTGCACGTTTTGCTGAAGGGACTGGGCTGGAGTCCCGACTCCTCCACTGGGCTCCCTCAGCAGAAGCTTTGGAGACGGGCATCCAGGAAGATTTGTGGAGCACTCTCCTAGTTACCGGGAGGAGACTCATAGGCTTTGGGGAATGCTCAATCAGCAGAAAGGTGGCCATCTTGGACCTAAAGGGAGACTCAGGGCAAAGCGAGGGAGTGCCAACAGACTGCTAGTGGGCAATGGGCGCACCTGTGTGCTGCCCTTCGCGAGAAGGGGAGAACCTCGGTGAGGAAGACCCAGAGACTGCTGGGGGCTCCTCTGGCTGAGAGTGGAGTGCTGAGCTGCAGGGCTCTCACCAGGCCTGGAACTCAGCGGAACCTCCCCTGCAGGGTTCAAACTTGCCTGGGGGCAGGGGAGGACCGCAGCTCTTGGATTCCTCCCTGTCTTCCTTTGGAATGGAAAGGTGTCTTTCTTATTCCTGTCTCCTTTCAGCTTGGAAGGAGATAACTTGTTTTCTAAGGTTCCAGGTCCACAGATGGAGTGGCATCTTACCTCAGGATGGATCACAGCCATAGTCTCCCCCATACAGTTGTCCCTCCTTTTTCAGAGGACGAACATCTGAAGAACCCCAGTGGATGCCTGAATCCGAGGATGTGTGTGCCCTGTGTATGCTGATATTTTCTACACATACACATGCCTTCATTCTCAACTAAGTAAGAACTCTCACACTGGTGGTAATGTTGCAAACCGAGGTGTGATAGCAAAACCAGCAGAACTTTCCTTTCCTCCTTCACAATTTCATGGTTAGAAGATTCACTTTTACCATAGATCTTAGCACCTCAGCATACATTTTTTTTTTTTACTTAACTTTATCGAGAACTTTCAGTTTTAACTTAAAGGAAGCACTTTACAGCTTCTTTTTAACATATCCAAATTGCCAGCATCACTACTCTTGTACATTATGGTCACTATTAAGATAAAATAAGGTCACTGAGCACAAGCACTGCAATACCAGGACAATCTACCTGCTAGCTGAAACAGCTGCTAAGTGAGTCAAGGGTGGATAGCATACACAGCATGGGTACACTAGCAGGGGTGGTTCAAGTCCTGGGCAGGTAGAAGTGACATGGTAAGAGGTTTCACACTGCTCAGAACGATGCACAATTTCAAACCTAAGAACTGTTTATTCTGGAATTTCCTATTTAATAATTTCAGACAGCAAATGATTGAGGGCAACTGAAACCACAGAAAGTGTGACTCTGATGGGGTGGGGTACTACTGTACCTGACTTAGACGAGGAGCCTTGGGACTTTGTGAGCTGGAAACATTCAGAGGAAAGTTTGGACTTAGAGCATGCTGTGAAGGCTGGGACCCTGGGGGCTGTCAAGCAGCTCACAGCCCTTGTTGATTTCCCTGTCCCTTTCCAGAAGGGAACCCCCAGAACTTCACCTTGGAGAATGCCCCGCCCTCTTAGAAGCATTCCTGCACTGGCTCTGGCACAAGGAAGACTCACCTTCTCTGCAGGGGTGACATTGGTGCTTTCAGCATGGTGTTAGAATGGAGAGGGCTCAGCATGGAGCCACCAGGCTCTCTCCAGGGAGGCCAGAACTTGCCTCTGAGCTGGAAGTTCACTTGGGTCTGTCTGGAGCAGGCAATTGCCAGGTAGGTAAGGAGGCTGGGGGAGCCAGTCCTCAGGCTGACCTAGGCTATGCTGTAGTAAAACACCCCCAAATCTCTAGACCTCAGTAACTTAACAAAGCAGCAGATGTCTCCCTGTTCTTTATGCTCAAGTGGGCTGGGAGGTGGCCCATGGTTTTCTCCAAGAGATGGGAGTTCCCTCTTGGTAAGGGTGTAAGTGTGGACAGTAGGATTTAGCCCCTGAAATGTCGGGCCCAGAAAGACACAGGTCACCTGTGCTCATATTTCTTTGGTCATGCAGGTTAGATGGCCACACTGAATTTCAAAGGTGTAGGGAGGGCAGAGCCCTGCAATGAACTGTGTGAAGAAAGGGGACCTGGGCGCAGGGGCGGGCAACAGCTCTTCCAGGAGTGACCCTACTAGGGCTTCACGTAAGTTGGACAGAACAGCCGGCTTTGTGGCCTGGCTGCAAGGCAGAACCTAAGGAGGCAGAGCCTTCCAAAAGCTAGACAACTGACTGCGCAGTGACAAGGCAACAGACACAGGAAGCTAAGCGCTACGGAGAGAGCCGCCTCTTAATTGCTGAGCGCGTTTTTCCCACGGTCTCATCCTGACTTTGCAAAGGGACAGAGATGCACCGAGGCCAAACCACGCCCCAAGACTCTCAGATAATTGCAAAGGCCGTGCAGAGCCCAGTTGGTATGAGATTTCCGGAAGGCCATGGGACCTTGGACGACCTGAACGATTCCACTGGGTGCAGACCGGGGCGGGGAGAACGGTACCAGTACCTAGGCTGGGAGATGATCCAGCACAGGGAACCCGCCAGCGCGGACGCACGTGCTCAGGGAAGCCTCGACACTGGGCGCGCGCGCGCGCGCGCTCCTTCGAACCGGGTCCGGGCCGCCCTCGTGGGGCGGGGCTGACGGGCCAGTCCCCGCCCCTCATCTCCATCCTCTGGGGGCGCCGCGTTCGCGCGCCACCTGCAGCAGCAGAGCGGGATCGCGCCTGGCCCACGCCGCAGTGCTGCACGACCTGACCGCACCCGGGCCCCGCGCGGCCGCTTCCCGCGTCCCAGAGCCCGGCCTCGCAAAGCCCAAGGTCTCAGGCTGAAGTTCGAGGTTCCCTCGATCGGCTGGCAAAAGTCCCCGGGCGGCATCTTTTCACGAAGGCAGTGTGAGTGGAAGGCCAAGGGAACCCCGAGCCCCCACGGTCGCCACACACCGGAGGAGGCTCCCCGCTGCCTTTACTGGCGGAGTCAGCACAGTTCTCGAGATCCCGGCCTTCCTGGGCCTCCGAGGCAGCCCGGCTGGGGCATCCTCGCTCGTCCTCCCGGGCTCTTGTCTCCGCCTCCTCGGCGGTGCCGCGGACCCGCGCGGACCGGACACGCTTGCTCGGTCCCAGACCCCGCGTGCGCCCATCTCCGCGCACCGCTCCCAGCGCCGGCCCCG